TATATTTAGAACATCCATTTGGAACAAAAATGGTGGGATTTTGTTCTTTTGTTCACAATTGAGTATATTTTTGTGCACTTATTCACCCCCAAAATGAAAAATCCATGGCAAGAGTAGAACTAGGAAAAGAAGACTTACACCCGAGCATAACTCGTTCTCATCACCCCCAGTCCTTCATCCCTAATATTTAGCCTCCCGTGTTCTCTTGATGCATGATAAACTCTACCCAAACACACATTTGTTTGCAGAAATACATGTCATATTGGCTAGGTTCCACCTATGAGGGAGAAGATGGAGGGTTTATGAGATTGTGACTACACTAAATATTATAGTCTGTCTATTCTATAAATGTTGTGATCACATTCTTTGTTAGAGTGAATAGAATTCACTACTCCCAAATTTTCACTGTCTATTCATCTGTTGATGGACAAACAGGCTGATTCCAGTTCTTTCCCATTCTATGTGAATGAGAAAGAAAGCAATAAACACAGAGGTGCATCTATCTATGGTAGGCTTTGGTGTTCTGTGGGTATATATCCAGGAGTGAACTAGTGGGGTCCTATGGCAATTCTATTTTTAATTACTCGAGGAATCTCAAAACTGCCATCCTGACTAGGTCAGGAGTATCTCAAAGTAGTTTTAATTTGCATTCCCGACATGGATATTGAACACTTTTAAAATTTTTTTGGTTTTGTTTTGTTTTTCGAGACAGGGTTTCTTTGTGTATCCCTGGTTGTCCTGGAACTTGCTTTGTAGACCTGGCTGGCCTTGAACTCACAAAGAACCCACCTACCTCTGCCTCCTGTGTGCTGGGATTAAAGCCCTGTGCTACCCACACCCAGCTTCTACAGGACGCTTTTTTTTTTTTAAAAAAAATTTATTTGTTTATTATGTATCCAATATTCTGTCTGTGTGTATGCCTGCAGGCCAAAAGAGGGCACCAGACCTCATTATAGATGGTTGTGAGCCACTGTGTGGTTGCTGGGAATTAAACTTAGGACCTTTGGAAGAGCAGGCAACGTTCTTAACCACTGAGCCATCTCTTCAGCCCCTACAGGGCGCTTCTTACACGCAAGTTTCTACTGCCCATCTACTGTGGTGTAAATGAGCAAACAAACTCTCCAACTTAGTAGATGCGTCCGATAGTTTTAAATTTCCTATACCCTGGAAAACATCACAGCAAATATCTCTTAGATAGTATAGCAAACTGCTTCTCCAGTACTAAAGATAGCGATTGGAGCAAACGTGCCAGTGTCAGCAGAGCCTGAGCCGCAGTGAGGATGGCAGTGTCACACTTCACATCCCCAAACCTTTCCTTCTGAGCCGAGAGAAAACTCGAGCCAACCAGAAGCCTCTGGCGGCTTGCTCTCCCATTCCACTGGGGAAAACCAATGATCATTTCTTAGCATGAAGTGAAAAATCAACCTCTTGGGGGAGAGCACCCATGATCTGAGTTTCTTCTTTCTGTGGATTTTCAAGACGCAGGAAAGCTCTGCGGAGCCTGTTCTACATCTAGTGCCTGCCATAGAGCAACAAGACAAAGTCAAAACCCGTGAGCGTCATTGGACTATGTGACAGCAACCCGGCCACACCCCGTGAACTTACTGCCTTTCCTTGGTCATTCTCACTGACCAGAGAATGCTGCAAGTCTGTCTGTTTCCTGTCAGTGCCAATGACAGAGGTTCAGTCTTATTAGCCGTATTCAGTATGACTCAGTGTGTTGCAGTAGATCTGTGGCTCCGCCTACTGGGACTACACAGTCTTGCATCTCTTATTCCATTCCTTCCTGAAGCAAGTCTAGGAAAGAGCCCAGTTCTACCACACGCACACTGCTTGTTGTTGTTCAGAAACAAGCTGTCAAGGTGTCAAGGGCTAGAGCCCCGTTTTGCCTTTCAGGGGAAAGCCGGCTATCCCAGTGGCTTGATGTCTCACACAAATTCCCCTAAACTCCCAAGGTCCTTGCTGGACTGCCTAGAAACGTAGCCAGCACCCAGTGTTGGTGACACCAGCTGACGATGTGATGCGCTTCACTAGTAACAAAGGTTGCAATCGGGATGAACACAAGGGAAGGGCTTCAATATACAGTTCCCTGCTTTCTGTCCATGAAGGCACTGAAGATGTAATTACCATGGAGAAAGGAGCGTTATAGTGAAGACTGTGTCCGAGGGACACCAGCTATTATCCAGAGTGAAGTTCCCGCCGTTTGGAACACAACAGGTCAGTGTGAAGCCTAACAGAGGAATGACCTGCTATTAATGTCTGGATAAGCTTTTACTCTGTGTTCGGTTGATCTCCTGTTTTTCACATGGGAAGACCTACTGAGGAACAGGTTTAAAATGTACTAGAATCCTTTAATCACAACTACTAGAATGTTGTCTGAATAACAGAAATTCTGTAACAAATGTTGATAGTCTAGTTCTAAAACTTTTTTGTTTTAAAGATTTACTTATCTATTATGGATACAATGTTCTGTCTGCATGTATGCTGCAGACCAGCAGGCAAGACGAGGGCACCAGATCTCATTACAGATGGTTGTGAGCCACCATGTGGTTGCTGGGAATTGAAATCAGGATCTCTGGAAGAGCAGCCAATGCTCTTAAGCACTGAACCATCTCTCCAGGCCTGTTTTTGTTTTGTTTTGTTTGCTGGTTTTGAGACAAGGATTTTCTGTGTAACAGTCCTGGCTGTCCCGGAACTAGCTCTGTAGACCAGCCTGGCCTAGAACTCAGAGATTCACCTGCCTCTGCCTCCCAAGAGCTAGGATTTAAGGGGGTGCCCCACAATTTTTTTTAATGTGGCACTTGTTAAAAATGGTCCACTCCTCATAGGTATTAAACATTTTATTTAAAGATTTTAATGTAAAAAAATTATACAAATACAGATTACATTAATAGTGAACAAGACAATAGTCTACATGACAAAAATAAAAATAAATTTCTAAACTAAATGTACCGGCACTGAGGACACATGGAACTAGACATCCAATCCAGCTGCATGTGATAAAACGATCTGACCACAGTTTATGCAAAATAAATGATTTCTAAGACACCAAATGCCAATCGCTCTGCCCATTCACACCAAGAGCCCCGATGAGTGTTCTGAGAGAACTTTTACATAGCGTATAAAGAGCTGGCACGGCACTTACGGACTGAAAACTAGAACGAAAAAACATTTACAATAATTCTGTATAAAACACACAGAGTAAATCTTATTAGTTAAAAAAAAGATTTAAAAACAAAGACCACCATTAATCAGAGACCTCGTCGTCTCTTATTTGCACAGTATGGCAGAAAATGGATGGTTTACTGGGGACGAGGAGGGGAGGGTATGCAAATTGGATTAGTTCATTTAAGTTTGCAGACAAATTTGGCGTTCATTCACTGATTACCTTTCTTGAACTGTTTCACCACAAAAGTAGACTCACACCCCATAAGAAATATTGTCACACACATAAAAAGAATACCTTGAAGAAAATGTTTTTCAAAATGAAATACGAAGTCCCCAAAGAGTCCGAAGGTAGCCCAATGATGTGCATTTTCAAACAAACTCTCAGTGACTGTTGTGTATTCCAAGATGCCCAAGGGACAGCACCCTTCAATGGTCATAAGTGTGCTGACATGCCAGAATTCTCTACCAGTTTATGATGCGACGCTTTTCAACTTAAAATAAACCTAAGTGTTGGGGAAGCACACTTCTCAAACATGAGACAAACATGGATATACAGATAAACAGCTGCTTCCTGATGTGCATTCTACTGCATGTATTTGGCTGCCCCCCCCTTATTTATTGCAGGGGAGGGTGTGCATGCGCCATGGTGTGCCAGCTTGTAGGAGTTTGTTCTTTCTTTCCACCATGTGGCAAAGCCAGGCCATCAGGCTGGGCAGCAACTCCTTTACCTGCTGAGCCACCTCGGTGTCCTTTATTTGGCTTCAATCAATGGAGGTTTCCAGCGCTCTCAGCCTTAAGTTATTTGAAGAAAAGAAAATGCATGACACAGACTTGGGAAACTTACACTTCTAATGAAACATAGGATAATTTTTAAATACCTACATGTTTTAAATCATTATAACACTCAACACTAGATAGCATCCCTAAAATTAAATTTTACTGATTTGACAATTGTACTTTATCTAGATTATTAAAGTTCTTTATATAAAAATATTTAAAATAAACAGCAGAATGATGTTAAATGGTACTTCTTTAAATAAATGTTGCTAAATACTAATATTAATGAAAATATTGCGGAGAACTGAAGAACTCTGCCTCTGAAATGCATTCTATTATGTATTATTTTTGTTACCTAAGACATAAAACTCAGTAGGAACTAGAACTGTGGTGTGCGAACACGCGTGTTACAGTTACTCATGTCATAACATAAACTACTGTTCTGGAATTTCATTGTAGACACCAACTGGTCTCAAAAGTACAAACAATGTACTTTGGGGAAGGAATCAAAAGTAGTTAAGACATTCTGCTTAGAAGATAAATTATTTCCCTGCATACTAAGTAATAAAATATATATACATAAACGTTCTGCCTCCCCTGAATGAATGGAATGCTTTTCTAAGTTTGGGAAGAAGTGAGTACTTCCTCATTATTTAAACCAAATCTCAAAAGCAACTGTAGGATTCATTCTCAGTAAGAAACAAAACATTACTATTATTCTGCTTTTTCCTTTATATGTACTGAGCAGCTATCCATATGCTCTCTGGGTCCTTGAGCTGCATACGCTAGCTCTCTCTGAGAAGGCAAGCTCAGACACTCAACCCCTTATTCTAAAAAGAAAAAAAATTAAATACAAAATAAGCGGGTGGTAGTGGTGCACACCTTTAATCCCAGCACTCGGGAGGCAGAGGCAGAGGCAGGTAGATCTCTGTGAGTTCGAGGCCGGCCTAGTCTACAGAGTGAGTTCCAAGACAGGCACCAAAGCTACACAGAGAAACCCTGTCTCAAAAAAACAAAAACAAAAAACAAACAACTCACAAAATAAACCATTGAGCCACTTTTTCAAACATAGCTAATTTATAATCCAATTCTTAATAAAACAAGTAAATTGTGTATCAATTTGATAACCGTTCCTTTAAATATCAATAATTATCCGAACTAATGAGAAAATTTATAGGAGGATTCTTCAAGGAACTCTGAAACTAGTATACGAGATGTACTGTGAGCCACCCTCCACTACACAATTAAGCCTTCAATTGACTTCCCACGAAATGACAACTGTGGGACACTGATGATGCAATCCCACCCTGTGTCACAACGCAACAGAGGCTCTGCTTGAGAAGCTGTGGTATTTCCTTCAAACTAAAGACAACTTCCTTGCTCATTACTCTGGAGAACAAGCGTAACTAAAGTTTGACATGACTGTCAGGAAGCTAGCTCTAATTTCTTTTTCTTAGCTCTATGAGTCCTATCATGTATAAGAGGATCCTGAGAGATGTCTGCAGGTGACAACATAAATGCTAACGGTGCCAGGCTAACAGCTGACCCGTGCACTAAATGGCAGGAAGCAAATGAACAGCTGAAAAGCGAGGGTCAGACACATTCTTCTGCAGACATCAGAAGAGGGTTGATATACTCAAAACCTTCAAATTCAGACTGATCGATCTTCCTCACGATGTCACTGTTGAAAGAAAAGTGAATTTATTGTCATCATAATCAAGATTTTTTTAGCCTTTAAACAGTGAAATACAACTAAAATGCAAAAACAGCTAAATGATTTTAATTGTGGAAAGAAAACAAGTTCTTAGATTAATCACAAAGTGAGTTCTAGAACAACCAGGAAGGAAAAAAAAGCCCACGAGGAAAACTAATAGCCCCACAAGCAGCAGCCTGAGAGCCAAGAGGGCTCAGAATCAGGCTGAGGATTTTTAAAAACACAGAAATGATCACAATCCCAGTTATTTTAACTTTTCCTCTGAACAGAACTCTCGATTAAGGTAAATAGGCAGGTCTAATTTAACACCAAGCTCAGCAATCACTTAGCCAGGCAGTGAAGAGAAGGAAGAAGTTAGCCAAAGGAAACGGCAACAGAAACAAGTCCACCGAGACCTGGGGCAAGGGAGAGGCTGGCACCGCGTCACACTGGACACACCTCAGTGCACAGTGAGAGCAGACCACCCAACACTCCAGTACCTAAAGGGTGTGCCACACTGCCAAGCCCTCCTTGATGGAGCAGCATACACTGCAAAGCTCTGAGAGAAAGTAGTATCCTCTAATTTTTGTGTGTACATACATGTGCACACACACGCAAGCACCCATGTACTTGTGGTCTACAGCATGTGGCTTCCTCAGTCACCCACCTTACTTTCTGAGCAGGATCTCTCACAGGACCTGGAGCTCACTGTGGAAGGATGGTTAACCAGCTCCAGGTCCCCAGCATCTCTGTACCCCGAGTACTAGGATTATAGATGTGTGTCGTCACACTTGCTGGAGATTTGAACTCAGGTTCACATGCTTGCATGGCAAGCACCTTCCCCCTGAGCCATCTCCCAACCCCACTGTCTGCAATATTTCCCACAGCTGAGTCCTGCTCTAACCACATGTGGAAAGGGAGGGCAACACCGAGCTGGAGAAACCAAGGCAGTCAGCATTCACTACACTGCATGTGGAACTGGAAAGGTGGGCAAGTGTGCAGAATCGAAGAAAGCACCAGAGCTGGAGCTGGGGACTACAAGGGCACCGAGGGGGAGGGGCCCCTGGAAGGACGGCACTGCATCTACAACTAATGATGTTTCATGAAAGGATTTCACCTCCACTAGTCAGATCTAGTCGCAATTTCAGGTCTCTGGAAAAGAGGAAGATTTCAACTGGTGAAAATGACAGAGGAGAAGAGAGACGTGAGTCAGGAGAGAGACTAGCGGGCAGTGGTGAATGACAGACTGCCCAAACACCTTTTGTGTTTTAGTGATAGGCCTAAGAGGTAAGGCAGGGACAAAGGTGGGGTGGGGGTGTGGACAGTTGTCACCTGGGAGGTTTCTGACTAGGGCTGAAGAACTGAACAGTCCATGAAGCACACTGGATAGGACACACAGTAAAGGAGGAGGAATCAGTGAGCTGGGGGGACTACACCCTTGGTATGAAGTGTGAGACTGGACCTCGGGTTACAGCAACAGGACAAGAAAAGAAAGCTCAGATCCAAGTGCTACAGGAAAACACAGAAAGCCGCCTCAGCAGTGGGTAGTATAGAATCTGCCGGCTGAAAGACATCAACAAGCACAGCTGAGTCTGATCGACAGGAATAGGTGGTGGTGCAAGAGGCAGCCGTAAGGCATGACCTAAACCAAGGAATAGCATAGAAAGTGGGCTGAGTTGTTTATCCATCAGTCAGTGAGATGTCAAACAGAAGGACAGGAGCACCACAGAGCGGCAGCAAGACGCTCAGCAACCACCCTCGCTTCTTCTTCATAGGAACCCTATCCAGTGGACATGACTGCGGACGGCAGCGAGAAGCTCAGAAATCACGCTCACTTACTCTTCCTAGGATCCTTGTGAGGCGGACACCATGAGAAGGAACAGGACCCGAGTAGCCATGCAGTCCTACAGAAGGCTGCACGGCAGGGGAGAGCAACAGGGACTTGAGCACCTCTCTCTGGCTAACTCCCCTGCTCCTTCTAACACACAGTCTGTCAGGAACATCCACCACACAGGGCCCGCTGAAGTCTCCAGGGCACGAACTGAATACAGCAACAGAAGGTTGCCATGTACAGAGCCGGGGAGGGGAGAAAGATGGCACAGACAAGCTGACCTAGGACGGCACTGCTCTGAGCGCCACACCGTCCCAGACGTGGGGGAGAAGAGGGCTAACCAAACAGTGCTCTGAGACCTAGGAACCAAAGGTTAAGCAGCAAGCTCATCTACAAACGTCTACCAGTGCTGACCACACTGACAGAGTCTGGTAGCTACCGTTTATTTCTTACTAAGAACAACAACAGGCATCTCTTTAAATGTCTGAAGAGGAAAGAATCAAGTGACAAAACCGTGCTGTCTCACAGAAGGGCTCAGGTTGTGTAAAAAAGCAAAACTAGTGCCTTTAGGTAGGAGGAAAACTAAGGTACTGAAGTAGTAAGAGCTGGGAATGGAGAGGGCAGACCAGACGGAGGGGCAGCCTTCCAGGAGTGAGGTCTTTCCCAGCAGGAGGCAGAATAAGGGCCCAGAGGAGTGAGGCCCAGACCTGAGACACAGACGTCTGCAGTCCTGAGACACAGTCATCCAGAGAGGTCACAGTCCTGAGACACAATCACCCAGAGAGGTCACAGTCCTGAGACACAGTTGGCCGAATGAGGTAGAGACAGATAAATTCTCACAGAGTCAGGAAAAGTAGTCCCTGAGAGAAGGCTCCAAGGAACAGTTGCCAAGAGTGTGTGGACCAAAATAAAAGTGAACACCAAGAGCAAAGGCCCCTTAGATTAGAAAATGTGTGGGGGGGGGGGGGCGCGAATCAAAACAATCTCTAATCACTTGAAATGACACAAACAAGTAGTCTGACCCCTGCTGGCCACACAAGAGACTTGCATCATTTTTAAAAGGAATACCCAGAAACTCAGAGAGATGCTCATATTGGAATGGGGCAGTGCAGTCCAATGGTAAGTACAGGTCTTGGCCAGTCAGCCCCAGGTGTGAATCCTGACACCTGCGCACCTCTCCTTAACCTCTCTGAGCCTTGGTTTCTAATCTGTAAAGATGACAATGCCCACTTTACAGAGCTGTTGTGAGAACTGGGATAATGCACACAAAGCAAGTAGATATAACCACTGCTAGAGTTTTAAACAGTCCAGCAATGGATGGTTACATATAAATTAGAGAGTATTTCCAACAATTAAACAGCCTTAAGATTTAGATTTCAAAAGAAGTTTAAAAACATTTTAGTGTGTGGAATTACTTACTCATCATCTGGAGTGAGCTGGACTGGTTCATTTGTAAACTGGGAATCAAAGTTATCCAAACCAAATTCTCCAGAAATGTTTGGTTTAAAGGGCGGCACCACCTGCTTCTGCTCCATCTGAAAGACAGCCCAGAGGAGAGCTCAGGCCGTACCCAGAAACACCGTGCCTCTGCACTCTACTTTGCTCTCCCACAGCTCACGTGGCACACTGCTATACCAGTTCAGCAACCATGGCCACATTTTATTAATCTGAATGTCGGTATGGGCCTTAATATTACAAACTGCCCCTGTACATTAATATACTGTTCTATTTCTAAAACTTCTTGTTTATCTCCTTTTTTAAGACAGGGCTTCTCTATGCAGCTCTGGAGCCTGTCCTAGAACTCACTCTGTAGGCCAGGCTGACTTTTGCCTCGCAGGGGCTGAGATTAAAGGCGTGTGCCACCAAGCCCAGCTCTCTAAAGCTTTTTATAAGTACTATAGGGTAGTTTTAATTTATTTAAGCTACAATATCTTAGCTTTTCAGTAACTCATTAGCATAATAAAAGTTGGCCCTTGGTTATAGTAAAACCCGAGCAGCAACAACAACACAGTACATACCATGTCCCAGTCCACATTCCGGAAGAACGGGTGTCCTTGGATGTCAGCAAAGCCAGTTTGAGGGTGGCAGCCCAGCCGCTCCTTTGGGTCCTACGGCAGAAGCAGTGTTTCGAGGGCGAGATGAGTGAGATTCCTGTCTTATGACGCTTTGTTTGGAAATGTCTAGCTAGTTCTAGAAAGCCCCACCACCAAGTGAGTCATCTAGAGCGCAACAGCTAAGGGTCCCTCCTGGCTCTTTAACAACTTCTCAGGGCAGTAAGCGGGGTAAGCATGGCAGCAGACATGGCGGTGAACACCTATAACCCCATTGAAGTATTTTCTTTAAATCGACCAGACACAAAAGAATTGGAATTCAGTACATTCTGAATGTAATCTTCACTTGATAATTGTTCTTGTTGTATACGGTCTTACTATATTAAAGTTAAAACTTTTCATTTTTGTTTACGAAAAAAGCGGGTGTTGGGGAATATTATTTTAAGGTGTGTTGCTTTTGGTTTATGTTGCATTTGTTTAACTCTGTGACGCTATGATTCTTTGCCTGTCTAAAACACCTGATGGTCTAAAAAAGAGCTGAATGGCCAATAGCGAGGCAGGAGCAAGGGTAGGAGGGGCTGGCAGGCAGAGAGAATAAATAGGAGGAGAAACAGGAAGAGGAAGACATCAGGGGTCAGCCACTCAGCCAGCCTCGGAGTAAGAGAGAAAGTAAGATATTCACAAGTAGGGAAAAGGAAAAGCCCAGGGGCAAAAAGTAGCCGGGATAATTTAAGAAAATCTGGTAAGAAACAAGCCAAGCTAAGGCTGGGCACTTCTAACTAAGAATAAGCCAGTGTGTGATTTATCTGGAAGTTGGGTAGTGGGCGCCCCCAAAAGCCTAGAGAGAGAGGTGGAGGCAAGAATGTCAGGAGTCCAAGGCCGTCCTCTGTTACACAGAAGGCAAGGTCAGCCTGGGCTAGCGAGTACGACCACCACTGAGAACCCTCTGAACGTTATCACACTTACGTTTAGACCAGTGCGATAGCCCTATGCTCAACTACAGCAACAAACCCTCATGTCTAAGACAGTGACAGCCATTACCTGATCACTGGACCTCATAAAGCCTTGGCTTTTTACTCTTACTGTGAATTGGAATGTTTTCTTTTTCGTAAAAGGCATTTTATTTTATAGATTAGCATCTCTCAACTTCATTTCTCATTGTATGAAACATAAGCTTTCCAGTTTAAATCTTCCCTCAAAAAAATAGTCACTCAGGAGTTTAGTGGTTAAGAGCACACTGGCTGCTCTCAACCAACTCTAACTCCAGTTCCAGGAGAGGTGATGCCCGTTTCTGGCCTCCCTGTAATGCAGTAATACACGTGGTATACAAATATATATGCAGGCAAAAATCACCAACACACACACACACACACACACAAATAGCCCTCTAAACTAAGTGCCGATTTCCAATTTTATTAAACTTTGTCATTATCTGCTCAAGGTGGCAAATATAATCCATTTCCTACCTTATTTATGTGAAATAAAATTTATGAATCCCAAATTCTTAATCTTAGACCCTAAACTCCTCTAGTGCATCAACAACCACAAGTGATTGATGCTTACATTTTTAAGATGCTATTTCGTTTCCTCTGAATTTTATTTTATATTGGGTTCCAATTATGAAATGGGTAGAAAATACCACTGTCCACCTGCTCAAAAACTACATGGTGATAAATGGGTGTTATGGATAACGATACACAAAACGGAAGTGAGAATGCAGTTATAGCTGTTCCCAAGGACAACATTCTTCCTCCACTGACATGATATTTATGCACTTACACTAAAAGCATCAAATCTAGAAATCTAGCTGGGGTAAATTATACTGGCCAGGAGGTGATCAAATCAGGTGAGGATCTGATCGTGTCTCATTGACTATGGAATAAACTCCACCCTAAACGCACTGCCTGCACCTCCACTTACCAGGCTGACTCACACAGTAGGGAATGGAGGTCACATCAGATTTCACACACGGTTCTTACCTTGTTGAGAAAACTCTTCAGCACACTTGCTGCTTTTACAGACAGAGAACGTGGTATGCGAATTTGCTTTTCCAAAATAACTAGGAAGGTAAGAATGACAGTAATTTTCAGCTTTTTATGTGACTGGAATATTTAAGTTTTTTTCTTTAGACGCCAAGATATTTAAGGCATTTCAGCAGAAAACACATTCTCTACATAACTGAAATTCTTCATATAGTTTCCCAATCCCTTGGCCCTCCTTCTCAGAGCTGGGACCTCACCTGAACACTGCATTTACTATTTACAAGCATGTTTTATTTTTTATATCCTTGCTGTGCCTCAGTTTCTTCCTCTGTAAACAGGAATAGAAGCAACACCTGCTTCACAGGGTTCTTACAAGGTATAAAGTTAAGAAGGTAAAGCGCTTGCATATGTAGCACAGAATTATTCCAGGAAATGTAAAATTAAGCTCCATCCCCACCAGCGGTCCCGACGAGTTCCCGACGAGCAGCTCTACACTTCCAAGCACTAAGCACTTCTCATCAGACTAAAGTCTCTGTTAAATGTACAGGCACGAAACTGTAGCTCACTAACACTCAGTGTGTATTCTAACCACCAGTGAGGCCGGGGGCTTTTCATATTAACCACTTTGTGGTAGAGAAGCCTGTGCCTGGCCCCCTGCTCCTGTTCAGCTTTCAGCACTCCTCGCTGTGGGCACTCCAGCCTTACCACCTCTGGGCTCTCTGATATCCTTACACTGCTTTTCTTGAGCTCGGGCACCAAGCCGGGGTTCACGTGCAGAGATTAGACTCTCCAGGCACAGACCCCGCTTCAGTCTCTGCGGCAGACAAGCCAAGCGGCTGTGTCAGGAGTGCGGAGGAGCACTGCAGACGGAACTACAGACTAGAGTGGGAACGGGAAGTCAGAGTGTATATCCAAATCATTCCCTTTCTTACTCAGAATAGTAATTTGAAAGTCTTAATTTTGTTCTATATTATTGAGAATCTTAACAAAATACTGTAAATTACCTTGGAATAGATAGTCCTCTGTATTTTGATCAGGATTATCAGAGCTCCCAACAATATCAAAAGGAGATCTTCCGGCCATCATCTCAAACATGAGCACTCCAAGAGCCCACCAGTCAACACTGAAGCCTTTGGAAAGAAAATTCAAATAAATCTTCTCTGTATTCATGAAAAGCCAGCAATCAGAAATCTACTTTATCATGAAATGAAATGTAAATTCTAATTAGATTATAAATAGTCTGGCAGGCACTAAGAACTACAGAAAAACTGGTCCAACCTTAAAAGGAACATCTATATACGAATCCCTCTTCCCAAGTAGAGAGATGGTTATGGAGGATGGGAAAGTCTATAAATGCAGGAGGTGCTGGACCAATACAAGGAAACAACAGCTTCCAGACACATCAGGGCAGCTGCACACAGGAACTCACAGCAATTGGGACAGCATGCACAAGCCCCATGCAAACTCTAGCCAGACCAAAGGCCAGCGCGGGAAGGGAGGAGCTGCAGGTGATAGCTGCTGGGGGAGGGAGTTTCCTCTAAGAGAGTTGCTCCTTGTAAGCTGACCGCGCTCCTGTGGGCAGCACACACTGGACATGAGCGAAAAAGAAAAGGACACAAAGGTGAGTGAGTGTGTGGGGGTGGGCTTGGGAGGAACAGGACAGGGTAGATACGATCAAAACATATTGTATGAAATTCTCAAAGAACTAATAAAAATGATAAATACAAATGTAAAAAAAAATTAATGGAAGTCGGATGTGGTGGTGCACATTTCAATCCCAGCACTTGGCAGAGGCAGTCAGATTTCTGTGAGTTCAAGGCTAGCCTGGTCTACCTAGCAAGTTCCAGAACAGCCAGGGTTATGGAGCCAGACCCTGACTCAGAAAAGGGGTAGGGGGATAGGGCGATGTATTGTCTGATGCTTGACTGCCTGACCTAGCCTTTAGCATCTTTTAGACTCCTAGGGGAAATACCCCAGGGGATCTGAACAATCTAGAAGTTCACAACACTGGCTTCACACAGCTGATGGTTTAAAACCTACGTGGGCCATTTCTGGCTACTATGATTTAAACTGTTCTGTGCATCAGTTCCCTTATTTATAAAATGAATCAATTACGGTAACCTCAGATTTCAAGGGAGCTTAGAGTTAGTTATTTATCACAGTTCTTGCCACTGCTCAGTGTTTGTCACTAGTAAAATGTTATTCAAATGTATACTCCACCAAATACCAAACTCTTTTTGGCTCTGGTTTCAGGACCTGAGAGTCTTCATGTAGGTTAACAGAACCAAGAAACATTCCTATTACCAGGACGAGTATTAAAATGCTATAGTATATTGTAGTTCGTACCACACTAAACTACCAATATAGCAATAGCTAAAATACCACCTATTTATTTATTACCATAGTCTTCTCCTCTTAAAATTTCAGGAGCAATGTAATTGGGAGTTCCACAGAAAGTGCTGGTTGTATCTCCAGGCCGTAATCCTTCCTTTCATAGGGGAAAAAAGGAGGGAAAAAAAAAAATGAAGGATAAGATACTATTTTAAATTTGCCTCTCTTGTACTTCATCTACTGTCTAAACTCACCACGTATATGCAATATATTAAACCTAAAAAATATCATTAAGAACATTTATCTTACCATGAAAATTGGGATTGCTACTAGAGTAAAGAAAACTTATTCACACCAGATGTTGCTAAGGTCAATTTAGCAAGAGGCAGGTGACTTTGAGGCCAACATGGTCAACAGAATGAGTTCCAGGACAGTCAGGGTTACACAGAGAAACCCTGTTTCAAGCAAAACAAAATAAAAATCACTTTTAAAATAATATTTGTTGGGCTGGAGAGATGGCTCAGAGGTTAAGAGCACTGGTGGCCCTTCCAGTGGTCCTGAGTTCAATTCCTAGCAACTCCACGATGGCTCACAACCATCTGTAATGAGGTCTGGTGCCGCCTTCTGGTCACTCTTCCTGTGGAGCGTGACTTCTGCCTTGGTGAACAGTAAGGAATGCACAAACAGGCTAAGTAGAGAAAACACTCTTAGCTAAATGGAACACCCATGAAGAACTATAACAAATATAAATTTCTGTATACCTACTAATATATTTTTTAAAAAAAGAATAAAAATGAACAAGTTAGAAAAATTTCATTGTCTTCAATCATAAGATTCTAACATCCCTATATCAGAGAATATAGGCTACATACCAATAACTAATAAGCAGAGAAAATTTTAGATTAAAAACTGAAACTGAAAAGAAAAACCAAGCACGGTGGTGCAGGCATCGTCCCCACACCTGGAAGACTGAAGCAGAGAACTATTAATTCAGGGACAACCTCAGCTACACAGGTTTTGATACCTTGTCTCCAAAGAACAAAGCAGAAGCAAAGTCACAAAACAAAACCCACCCAAACACAAATAAACAGAAAGTAAAAAGCAATCCAAAAACCAAATATGTTACATATACCCATATACGCAGTATAAATATGGTCAAATAAAGGGAAGGACAGTCCTTGCAGGGCTGGGGAGATGGGGGTAAAATCTTGCGAGACAGTCCAGGTCTGCCTTGAGCTCTTGACCATCCTGCTTCAGCCCTGCAGAGGTGAGTCATGCTACGGCCTCCGTGTGCTACTGGTAAGTTTTACTCTTGTTCAAACAGTGGAGGAAGAAGAGGAGGAGGAGGAGGAAGAGGAGAAGAAGGAAACCACTGTTCTAATTTGCTCATATTTTCATCTGCTCTTGAAACTCACAAGAATCCACTATTATTGTGGTTACTTAATTCATTTTTTTTTTTTTTTTTTGAGACAGGGTTTCTCTGTGTAGCTCTGACGTCCTGGAATTTACGGAACTTACTCTACTCTATAGACCAGATTGGCCTTGAACTCAAGAGATCAGTCTGCCTCTGTCTCCCAAGTGCTGGGATTAAAGGTGTGCCACCACCGCCTGGTGTGATTTAAAAAACAACAAAAAGAGAGAGAGAGAGAGAGAGAGAGAGAGAGAGAGAGAGAGACCACGCTAAGAGAGAAGAGAAAAATGGCAAAGGGTCTCCCTAAACAGAAGTGAAGGATACACAGGAGTGCACTGACTAAACCTTCTCACTGTCTACAAATGAACACTTACATAACAGAATAAATGAAGGTGTGTCATAGGAAAGTGGTCTTGAGTTGTACACATTGTGTGAAGGCTTTCTTTCCTAATGTAAGTTAGATATACAGATGTAACATTAAATCCTCAATACCACGCGAGTGTTTTACTACTGTAAAAACATGGAATTCTGCTCTGGTGGCACCTCCTCCAGGCGGATAAATAGAGTGCATACACCCACACACCTGGGGATGCTTTGTTGGAGGAGCATTAATAAGTAGAACAGTTCTCTAGACATTTTGTGGCAAAAGACCAGATCTCTAAATGAAACACTGTTGCCAAAATATAAACCACCAATAAATAGACATAATCTGAGACAAAGCAAAATGCTTATTTGATTTTGTTCTTACTTTATATCAGAGATTTGAAATTTAAATATAAAAACAGACTCCTAAGGAAAGTTTGCAAGTAGGTTCAGAGTCCACAAAATGGTAAAAGATTGGAAGATGATATGCAAATATTGGGTTAACATGAGGATTGTAGGTAATTTTTATTTCCAAATTTTATTCAAAAGTGTATCAGCTTTCAAGACAAAAAAGTTATAATCAATTAAAAATATTTAACCCTATATATAACACACATATTACAAAAGACATGGAATTCTGAGAATGGCCAAATGGTCAGGGAGTACACACTCATCTTCAACTAGAATTCCAAAACCTCTTAAACAAGGCAGTGATCACTTCCCATCTGAACATGAAGTTACTCAGTTGACAGCCACGAGCTGCCCGAGGGTTCGCTCACCTTACACATGCCATAGTCAGTCAGTTTGATGTGTCCTTCAGAGTCCAGCAGCACATTATCCAGCTTCAAATCTCTATAGATTATTCCTCGCTCATGAAGGTAATTCAGTGCTAGACTGATTTCTGCAGAGTAAAACCTTAAATTGAAGAAAACATACACATGATTTTCCTACAACTGGTCACTGCTTGAAAAACCCTAAACATACAGTGAACACAAACAGATTTTAATATGTGATAGGTATACTATAATTTGTTATGTAAACTAACCTAGTTCAGCCTCCTCGTGACTTACAAAGAATAAACCAGCAACAAGATAACTTGTTTATGTACTGTTTTCAACTAGCTGACACAAGGTCAGGCAGTCCTGAGGCACAAATCCAACTCAAACAAAACACTTACCTGGCATGTTCTTCAGGAAGCTTTCTTTGTCGCTGCATATGAAACATTAGATCCCCTCCATTTACATACTCTATAACAAAAAACAACCTAAAACAGAGGCAGAACCACAAGTCAAAATGAGTCATATAGTTGTGGCATTTCCAATAGAACAGCAATCACATAGCATAAGGGACTGACTGAGTCCTCGCCAAGAACTTAGTGAGAACAAGAGGCACGGACACAGAGAGGAGTCCAGCATGGCACAACTACACGGACTCCACTCTAGAGTGTCTGCTTGGGGTAAGGAGCTACTGACTAGGTGAGTCATGTCTACATGTCATGTAAGGTAAAGGAGACACTATGTCCTAAACTGTGAATGTGCAGGGCACTAAAGGGCTGGCTATCTACTGCTGTGTCTTAAGAGCCCCTTCTCTCCCTGTTTCTTTTCTGTTTTTCTATTAGTGACTGGTGTTAGACTGGTATTGCTGATTGTAGCAGGAAGTTCTTAGTGCTCCTACAGGAATTACAGGAAACAGATGAAGCCCAGGAACATTCTGTCCACTTTAACCTCACCTGCTTTCTGTCTGGAAGCAAGAATGCAGTCCAACAAGAAAAGGGTGATTGGACGCCTGCTCAAAAACATGTTTCTCCGTCTGCACCCAGTCAATGTCCTATTTAAACCAACGAAATCTATGTCAAATGAAACGACCAAAACTATGAAAAATTTGTTCTTAGCAAGCCAATCATCACAAATGTTAACTAATTCGATTAAATATCAAAATTACTCACTGTCATGAAACAAAAGTTATACAAAGAGAAAATACAATAACAAAATGTCCAGTATTATGAAATAGTCTTGAACACGCAGAAAGCTCAAGTACTTCCCTTGATAATGATATGCCTTGACGTTATTTTTACCTAAGGCATGTTCTTAGAGAAGCAGACCACAATAACGACGCACAAATGCTGAAGTAGTGCGCTTTTGTTGTGTCTGTCTGTGTGGTATTCTGGATTAAACCAGGGCTTCGTACATGCTAGGGCTTGCCTCCAAGTAGAAAAAACATAAACATCACCATGCTTACCTCATCATCATTGACGAGCTCTTTTTTCACAACTTTCATTGCATAAATGCGATCTGTTTTTTTTAATCGAACCAACAGTACTTTGGCATAACTTCCTCTCCCTATAACGCGCAGCAAATCGAAATCCTGGAGACCTAAACTCGATGACGCTTTTCCACTCTCCCTGGTGTTCGTCGCCTGTTGAGAACATTTATACAACAAAGTTTTACCTGGAAATATTTTGCTCAATACTTTCTATTTCTAACAAACTGTTCTAACTATAATGATTTTAAAGTATTTTCTTAACATTAAATTTAATTTCTTAACTCTTTTCTTATATATTCTAAAACATTTGCTTGGGGGCTAAGAAGTGTTAAGAACAGAGCTGATCTGAGGAATGCTAAAGGACGTCTTGAAAAGGACCTGACAGGTTTCAAGCACAGTATCACGGAGACACATGAGTTACACTTGACACTGACTTTCATGACTGGGAGAAGAGATGCTGATAACGAGGAGAACATATGTGGACAGGATAACACTGGCAGCTCTGTGTATTGTTTGGTTTTCTAAACAGAATTTAAGTTAAAATAGAATATCAAGATAGAAGAGTCAGCCAGGCGTTGGTGGTGCACGCCTTTAATCCCAGCACTCAGGAGGCAGAGGCAGGTGGATCTCTGTGAGTTCGAGGCCAACCTGGTCTACAAAAGCTAGTTCCAGGATAGGCTCCAAAGCTACAGAGAAACCCTGTCTCTAAAAACCAAAAAAGATAGAAGAGTCTGTAAGGAAATGGTTGACACCAGATAAATGTATCCTGGGCTGTGAGAGGACACACTCCAAGGTGTATGAGATGCTACAGGCAGGAAATGAACATGAAGCAGTACAGATAGCAGTAGATTTGATATTAAAGGGATGGCAAAGTAACCCTTTCAATTCATTTAAAACTAGAAATTTAAACATCCATCAATTTATGCAGATCATCAAAGATAATTTTTTACACGATATCTGCAAACCCAAAAGAACACCTTTAGGGACCATGCCCCATAAGAATAAAGCAGAAGCCAGGGGTTGGGGCACTCAAATTTAATCCCAGCACTTGGGAGGCAGAGGCAGGTGGATCTCTGTGAGTTCAAGGCCAGCCTGGTCTACAGAGGGAGTTCCAGGACAGGCTCCAAAACTTAGAAACAAAAAAAAAACCCCTACAATAATTAAAAAAAAAAAAGGATAAAGCAGAAATCCTATGGTTAAAAATATCAAGAAGAGGAAGATAGGAGAGGGAAAGGAGGGAGGGAGAGGAGAAAGAAATAAAAGCTCCAGATCTGAGTCCTCCGGCCTCTGCAAGCACCTGCACTGACGTGCACATACCCACGTAACACACACACACACACGTAATTAGAAACAATAACAACAATAGTTTAAAGAGAATGGCCATGGGGATGGAGAGGGGACCACTGCTCTTCCAGAGGAGCCTGGTTCCATTCCCAGCACCCACACGGCAGCCCATAGCTGTCTGCAACAACAGTGCCAGGGCATCCAATGCCCTCTTTTGAACTCCACAGGTACCAGGCACACATGTGGTACAGACATATGTGAAAGTAAAATATTGATACACATAAAATAAAGTAAACACATCTAAAAAATATTTTTAAAAAGTTTACATTAAAAAACTAGAAATAATAATAATTACACTTTGTAATACTAGATTCTCATTATTGAAAATACCAATTTAGTTCTTTAAGAAGAAAAAAACATCAGGTGGAAAAGGCCAAACACTAGAAATAGAAAACAAAGTGGGTAAATTTAAATAAAGAACACTGATTTAAACCCCCCCATCAAAAAACTGAAAATATGGCAAAAATATCACTGAAGACAGGAAGAGAGAAGACTGAACTTCAAGTACTAAGTTTACTTTAAAGGGCATCTTCTTGAAAATGATCAAAGTATCAACAGCTTGTGTTGAATCTTAAGGCTACAGGATCGCTACATAAACCAGCAATAGGATGAAAGCTTAAAACAATTTAAAAAAAATCCATCGCCAGTATCTCCACTCAGAGGACTGGCTTACTAGAGACTGCCCAGCCTCAGCGTGGACAAGAATGAGGAACAACCACAATTCTCACAGGAGTTTGTAGTTTGGTGGAACTACAAACACACAAATGGAAGCCTGTGGCCACCATCTCTTTCAGTGGATTGTACATACTCTTTAGCACATCTACTACTCACGCCCCAAAAGTTGTTATTTACTTACATAATTAATTATTTATGAAGTACTGGGGAGTGAAATTTTTATTTTATGTAGTACTAAGGACCTCATGTATGCTAGGTAAATGTTCGACTCCTCAAACTTCTCCAACCCTTTTTTCAGTTTTTATTTGAAATCGGTCTTCACTAAGTTGTCTAGGTTGGCTCTGTTATCTTCCTGCCTCAGCATCCTGAGTAGCTGGGATGACACACTGGCTTTCATCAGCTGGGTCAGTAGCCAAACCATACTTATAAGATTGTTTCATCTTAAATCATAATAATTCCAACTAAGAGGGAAAATTGAAGTGGGACAGATAAATGGAAATGATAAAAATAACTGAAGTACTGCTCCGTGGAACATGACATCTATGTTACACGGAAGAAGTCAGATACATGCATTTTGTAGGAGTCCATTTCTACAGCTGGAACAAAGGCAAATAAAGGGGCGCAGACAATGGCTACTTTTAGGGGAGGGGGAGGAGGAGACAGGACAGGCCTCTGGAGTGGTGGTGCATCTCTCTTCTGAGAGGTCATCCTATGTCACTGTGTCAAAAACCCATCTAGCTACGTCCCATCACCTGAGCGTTAGTTACACATACTGAAAAGGTATAACCACCAAAGCAGTAAGAGTAATGATGATAATGATAAAATGCCAACACGTTTCTAAAAAAAACTAAAAAAAAAGTAATAAAGACCACCAAAGAGCAGATTAAAGAAATATGAGCAATACACGGGTCCGGAAGAGCAGAGGACACATTCTTTAGTGTCAGGGTTTTCTTCCTCTATATGACTCAATCAGCCTACAACAAAACAAGACCTGGTCACAGTGGCAGAGTGGGTTATAAATGTTAACAACCTCGGCAGTGGAGAAGCAAACATGCACACTTAGAAAGACTAAAAGAAGATAAAACAGAGTGGAGACTGGGGCGCAGCTGGGCAGGGCAGGAGCACCTGTAATCCCCCGTCTGGGAGGGGGAGGAAGCAGGATCAGGAGACAGAGTCATCCTTAGATATGCAGGGAGTTCTAGGACAGCCTGGGCAACAGGAGAACTTGACTCAAAAGAACAAAAGAAAACAAACAAAAGGTAATTGACTAAATCAGAAGGAGTCTAAGATGCCATACTAAAAATACGGGATCAACAGATTTACTTCAAAATTCTGCTGGAGTAAAGCATGTAAGGAGACAAAACCCCGGCCTTAGGAGTTCACAGTTAACAGAACCGAGTAGTGCATAGGGGAGGGGCTTTGCTACAATGTTCTGTCTGCTACTTCTGTATCAAATTTCCATAATAAAAAGTTGGGCGATAACAGCCATCAAGCACTAAAAAGTGAGAAGAAGAAAAGGTAAGGACTAATCTTCCATGACCAAGATTTAGACACTCTTCACACAATGAGAAGAGGCAAAGGGCTGCTTCCAAGACAACAGACTGGGAACAGGTAACACGTGACATTCTTTTTCACCAAAAGCTTTTCGAAAACTGGTTATTGTTTTAATTAATTTCTGTTTTAGAACAAAAACTTGGACTTGAGAAACCGCTCAGCAGTTAAGGACACTTGCTGCTCTTGCAGCAGATCCAAGTTTAGCACCACATCAGGCAGCTCCCAGCAGCCTGGAACAACTGCCTCAATCGACCTGACACACTCTTGGGCATCCATGACCACCTGCACATATGTGGCATTTTCTTACGCAGATACATACAAAAATAAATATTAAAACCCAATAAACTGCCTAATAGAAAGAAAAAAAAAAGAAAAAATCACTAGTCAGATGGCTTAGCAGGTGAAAGAAAGTGTTTGCTACCCAGGCCTTGCAACCTAAGCGGGGTTCCCAGGAGCCATATACAGGTATAGAGCATCAGCTCCACTTCTACATGCATATGGCAGCATGCCTATCTCATTCCTACACATCACACATACAATAATAACAATAATATTTTTAAATAGCAATTAAGACATTTAATCATTTACACTTTAAGCAATTAGTCCAGAAAACAGAAGAGTCTGCAGTATGTTTCAAACAATATTATCAAGTACTGAATGCTATTCCTATGTATATTGTACTTTTTGCATATGCTATCTTAAACTGAAAATAAATTTAAGTTATTTCATAATTAAAACTACTTAATAAAAAATTTAAATAAAAATAGAACTCTAAAATCATTAAATGTTTTCCTTGTATTGATTGTTACTGTCTAGTGGGTAAGCAGCTCCAAGTGTTACATTTCTAAGAGATCACGTCCTTCTAAGAAGCTAACGATGCTGTATACAGTAGTACAAATTATCTTACCTCCTTTTCTTCACCAACTTGGTCCAAACTTTCATGACTTGAAGGATTATATGGAATTACTAAAAATTCAAAATCAAATATTAAAAAAGAAAAATAATCAATGATGAATTTGACTTAAAATTTTTCTTTTGACAGTTTTTCTTGTCTTTACATATGAGTAAGTAATTAGTGAAAGCTTAATATTTGTTAAGAGTAGTGAAGGGGCTGGAGAGATGGCTCAGCGGCTAAGAGCACTGGCCAGAGGTCCTGAGTTTGATTCCCAGCACACACATGGTGGCTCACAACCATCTATAGTGGGATCTGATGTCCTCTTGTGGTATAAAGTCATACATGCAAACAGAGCACTCATACACATAAAACAAATAAATCTTAAAAAACATAAGGTAAAGGAAGATCATTTAAAAAGAAAGAGTAGTGAAGGCAGGGAGGAAGCACCCATTGGCGGTCAAGTCCTGCCTTTTCTCTTATTTATGAATAATTTGTTCTCTACAGAGGACTATAAATCCTACTGAAATGCTTTAACACCCGCAAACAGAGATGGCAGGCCTATAACCTTTATCTTAGAAATGCTTGACTCTCACAGAGATGAAGACCTGTCATGATCGGGCTTCTGCTCTTCAAAGCTGCTGGGGGTTGGAGGAGTAACAGCCCTCAGCTCAGACTGTTCAAGCTTCTTTTATGACCAATGGACCAGGTACCAGAAAAATTCTTTTAGCTTCAGCATTTCCCAAATATGTGCTTAGATTTTGCTCCTGTTTAACACAACTCATCCTACACAGTCAGTTTGCTATGCTGAATCTCTACATTTCCAGAGGAAAGATTTGAAGGAAACCAAGTTGCTTCATCAGTCAACATGCTGCAAACTCAGCTTTGTACTTTCTCACTGTGAAAACAAACTAGGCTTGCTGAATTTAAAGGCTTCTCAAAAGAAATTTTTTGAACTAAGAAAGTCATTTGTTAGCTTACACAGTCGTTTTTTCAAATGCTAAATGTGTATATTAAAATACTGTGACAAATTTTACAATCACAAAATATGCTTATGTACATTATGTTTTTAAACTTAGGCTTAAAAAAGCTACCACAAGACTGTGGCAAGGAGGCTCCTGGGGCAGAGGTTGAGGGTGGGGAGTGCAGGAGAAAACAGGGAAGGAGAAGCAAGAGAATTTTTATTTGAAAATGCTATCATGAGGGCTGGAGAGATGGCTCAGCGGTTAAGAGAATTGCCTGTTCTTCCAAAGGTCCCGAGTTCAATTCCCAGCAACCACATGGTGGCTCACAACCATCTGTAATGAGGCCTGGTGCCTTCTTCTGGACTGAAGAAAGAATACTGTATACATAATAAGCAAATAAATAAATATTTCTTTAAAAAAAAAGAAAAAGAAAATGCTATCATGAAATCTAATACACTATATGCTAACTCAAAAAATAAAAAAAAAAAACCATGAAGTCTAATGTGAGAAATTAGACTTAAGAAAGCCCCCCAGAGCAGTCTCTAGCCACTACTGCCCTTACCTGTCTGTGCGTGGTCTGGGTGCATGGATGACTGGTCCATTGGCATCATCGGTTCCTACAAACAGTTCCAAACACACAGTAACTTACAAGATTCTTTTCAAACCTCCAAATCTCTATAAACCTAGAAATGACAGTATCTCAATAGGATGTATCATACTAAAGCTTAAATGTGAAAAACTCTACGTGATATGAGTTACATTATTATTATACTACTTAACAATATAAAGCCATGCACTACTCCTATGAATGACATAATTTTTACAGAAAAACAAATACACAAGGGATTTCAGGTGAGTTAGAAATAAAATCGTGGACCCCTACCCCTTTACAGTTCAGTATGACACCTTCTTCTGACCTCCAAGGCCAGAACACACTGGGCATATACATATACATACACATAATAAAAAATAAATCTGAAAAAAAAGACCAAATCATACTGTTGAGAAAAGTGAGTTAGAAAAGGATGTACACCGATAACACTACTTTTACTAAAAGTACGTAAAAAAAAAGACACACTCAAAATAATGAACAAAATTATTAAATACTTTAAATGACTAAAAACTAATTGTTTCTCCTGCAATAAAACACTAAGGAAAATACAGGTGGAAGGAAGGAGGAACCAGGGAATTTAAAAAGTATGGAAAAAACATTAATCAAGAACACTTTGAATCTTAATTCAGAATGAAAAATCTTAACTTCTGTGAGACAACTAAAAATGTGACTGCTGCCTAGACAGCATGTGATAATGGTTCCTTCAAGACTTGCAAAGTTTACGAATCTTAAGTGGAAGGTAAAGGACTCCTACACACTGTATTTTCTGAGATGTACTTCTGTAACACCTTCCTGCTTTAACCCTGTTAAATGAAGCAAGCTACACACATATATAGCAAACAATTCTCTAAGCCTTACCGGTGGCAAAGAATGCCGCCCACACTCAATTGTGACAAGCTTGTGGCACTTCTTATGAACCAACAGTTTGCAATTGATGCACTTATATCCTTGTCGTCCAAGTCCCCAGATTCTGTCTGTGCAGATGGCACAGTGAGCACGCTGCAAAGAGTAAATTCAAGAATATTTGATCAGTCAGTCAGTGGTGGTGCACACCTTTAATCCCAACATTCAGCACGCAGAGGCAAGTGGATCACTAGAAGTTCCAGGCCAGCCTGGCCTACGTACTGAGTTCCAGGACAGCCAGAGCTACAAAACCTATCTCAAACAAAACAACCCCAAAAGAGCAAAACCATAAGCCATAGCTATTTTCCAACAGCTTACCCATTATGCCTTCAATCCCAGAATTCAAGAGGCAGAGGCATACTGATCTGTAAGTTCAAAGCCAGCTTGGTCTACATAGTGCGTGCCAGCCAAGGCTACATACTAAGACTCTGTCTCAAAAAAAGCCAAACAAACAAACCCCAGGATATTTAAAAGTCGCTGGTTTTCCTTTTAACTGAATTCCCTCATCAAGGCATCAGTTGTCAGACTATAGCAAAATCAGATGAAACAAAATTTTCTCAAATAATTTTTTTCAAAGGCTATTGACGATCAGTGAAAAATAAAGAGAAGACAGTCAGTTTAAAGAGTCATGAATATACCGCCATGTTGCTTTCTGATGTTAAATTCAAGAAATTTTCATCTTTACAAAAATTTCACAGTAATGAGCACAGGAAACGTGGCTAATAAGCTCACAGTCTTCCCGATTATGCAGAGGGCAAACCAGGCTTTCCTAGAGAACTTGGGCCTTGATGACGCCAGGGCCACTGGCAAGAAGAGTTTGGGGATCTCGGGCATTCATCTCTATTGACATTGATGAACTGAGGACACGATGTTAATTGTAGAAATGAAATCCATAAATGTATAGTTATCAAAAGAAGTTAAACCAGGCACTCCCGTACTTAGGCAGGCAGAAGGGATTGCCATGGGTTCTTGGTTAACTTCAGCTATACCAAGTACCAGGCCAACTCTAGCAACACAGTTTAGAACCTGTGTCAAAAAAGGTGTGTTTCTAAACACAGGCTTATGCCAACAGACTGCTTGTTCTCAAATCCCAGCTTTGTACTTACTGGCTAAACAGCTGAGATAAGACTTAACTTCATTTTTCTCATCTATAAAATAGAAATACAGTACCCATTTCACAGGGCTGAGTAAGGATTTAGTGAGTCTACACAGGGAGAGCACTCGGGAAATTGCCTCATATATGTGAAAGCTAGCCAAGGCTTCACTACTATTACGGTTTTCTAAACAGTGAATTCAAGGGCTTATACAATAAACTTTGATAATTTCTGCCTGCTTTGAATTATATGTAAACGTAATTTTCTTATAACTTTAAAAATCCATATTTTTTTTCAGACTCATTTGGAAATAAGGTGAAAACATTAGAAGTTTAACCTAAGTCAAAGGGCATTCATTCATTTAATCAGGACCTTCTTAAAAAGCCGGAACCATTCTCAGAGCGGCAGGCTGTGAGTGAAGCAGAGAAGCAGGCAGTGAAGGAAGCGCTATTCTAACCAGAGCACAGCCCCAGTAGAGGGCGGCAGATCAAGGCCTTGCTGTTTACTTCTTTTAAAAGGACTAACAAGTTTTAATAACAAACTGTCTTTCTCTCATAGGGAGAAAAATAAATAAATAAAAATATATGTCTCAAAGTATTAGAATCCAACAAAACAAGTTTACCCTGTTGAAACGTTTGGCTTGAAAAGTGTGACCATTTGCACAATAAAGCTTCCTCCACCGGCGGGCCCCTCTGCGGTAGATGGACTCTGGAGAGAGAGCAAAAGTTTAAAGAGCAGGTTTGAATAAAAGCCACTTAATTAAATCTGACTTTTCCGTGATGTGGACCGCTGGAGAAACCATAGTAACACAAACTAGAACGGAAATGTACAACGGGCTCGCTGCAGGGCCGGCTGCAAACACACAGGGCACCGACACTGGAATAATTAGTACTGGTCTCTTTTCAAGAGATTCCCACCTAACTCTGAGAAAAACTGGAGCTCCTGGACAAGCTAAAGGAGTAAATATTTGCATCCTTTACCTGATTTACAAGTTACAACTTACTCTTTTGTTATATCTAATATCTTCTCAACAAATACAAATAAAAACAAAGTCTTTTTGTCCCCTCAGAATGATTCCGAAAATGCAGTGTCTGAAACTAATGACATTCACTCTAGTCATCCATAACACAATATAACCACTACATCTTAGAAAATTAACTCAGAAAGCAAAGATACAAACTTTCTTTCTTAACTGTTCCAAAACTGTCTTTCAAAGCTGTCAGGTCCTACTCAGGAACAAATCACAATTCAGCCATTGCATTTGGTTTCTTTGGTTTGGCGTCTGGTTAGTTGGTTTTCACGTCTAACATACTCAAGACCATGCGCTCTGCTTTGCTCTGCATGTCTTAAGCAGTATTTTTGTGCTCCACACCCCGGGTTGCAGAGTCTGCCTCTTCACGATCAGAGTTAGTGCTAAAACTCTGAGCAAGTGTAAGGCATATACCTTTAGTCCCAGTACTGGAGGCAGAGGCAGGTGAATCTCTGTGAGTTCAAGGCCAGACTGGTCTACAAGAGCTAGTTCCAGGACAGCCAGGACTGTTACACAGAGAAACCCTGTCTTGAAAAACCAAAATAAACCTTTGAGCAAAAATACTCTAGAGATGCCTTTAAAGAGAACAGGGGCCAGAGGAATGTCTCTGCCGCTGAGTGGACCTCACCGCTCTATCAGGACTAGAGTTCAGTTCCCAACACCTCACAACTATCTGTAACTCCAGTATGGCGGCGTAAGCACACGGGGCGGGAGATCAAATGCTCTCTGCTTCTCAGGCATCTGCACTGGTATGTGCACACACACAATTAAAAATAAAATAAGAGTGTTGATCTTTTCTGATGGCATGCCATCAGAGGCACACAAACACCAGAACGTCAGCGCCCACCACGACAGACACCTTCACCAGGAGTGACTCTGCATCCCTTCTTCACTGAAAAGGTACATCCAACTTCATGAAAGTTAATCTGTAAGTGATACTTCCATATAACTACATCTACAACAAACTTTCATCCTTTTTGGTCTGTTTTTGGTAAAATACTGGGTCCTGTAACTCGTGTGAGGTCCTGAACCCAGGACCTCACACGAGTTACATAAACATTCTACCTACCACACAGTCACGGGTCTGGCCCACTCCAAAGGTTTTATATAATTGCTATTATCTTTTTTAATTTTTAAAAATATTTGTCAGTGTTTGGTTTGTATGTATGTATGTATGTATGTATACCATGTGCTTGCCTAGTACTCTGGAGGTGAGATGGGGGAGCTGGATTCCCTGGAGCCAGAGTTACAGATGACTGTCAGCTGCTACATGGGTGCTGGGAACTGAACCCAGGTCCTCTCAAAGAGCCATGTCTCCAACTCCCACAAATATTTTTTTTCTTTTAGCTTTTCGAAACAAGGTTCTCTATGTAACAGCCCTGACAGTGCTGGAAACTCCTCAGACGAGGTTGGCCTCGAACTCACAAAGGTCCTCCTGCCTCTGCCTCCTGAGTGCTGGAATTAAAGGTATGTGCCACCACTATTGCTAAAATGCACAGGAAGACAGATTAATCTAATCCATTTGTAATTTTGGCAATCCCTCACTATGACATGCATTATCTAGTAGTCACTGCAGTCCACTAGACATGGCACTTACTATCTACTGGTGATATTTATCAGTGCTAGTTAACAGGAAGAAACATTTCTAAATTATTTTAAAGCAGATGTAGCACTGAATTCACTATTTCAAGTTAAAGTAGAAAGTACCAGCTATAATGTTCTTAGAAATCTCTTTTTCTGCTTGCAGAGCTAGGGATACAGCTAGAGCCTTGCACACTAGTGGAGCCTTGCAGCATGACGCCTGACACCAAACACAGGTGTTTTTGTTTGTGCCTACATTATCTAGTGAGGGCCAGCACATGTTAACTTACCAGATGCTCTTATGAATTAGACTATATACCCTAAATTTAAATATTTTACTGCTGTCTAAGAACTTAAAGGGCCAAGAGACCACAGTCATGGTTATCAATTTTCCTCTCTAGTTTAACATTCATTTGGCTGGGGAAAAGGTGGTGTCAGACCTCCACCACTACTTTGAAAAGGTCAATGAGTGTGCAGTGTAAGGGGAAGCCTAGAAATTGCATTTGACCCAGAAAGCATGCCATATACCTACAGTAGACTTCCACGGGCACAGAGCCCTGCACAACTGTGTTAACAGTGGCTCTAGGCTCTCTCCAGAGCTCTGCAAAAACAGTCAACACGGCTTTAACTCTCCTTCCATTAGAACCTCAGCAAGATGTTGTGAGCTGAAATCAAACCTGGTTTTCACCACTGCCTGGGTGTTCTGCCCATTCCTTCTATTTCCCCATCTTCCTATGTAACACATTACATCTATTTAATATTATAGCTCTTTGTTTTCCCTATCCACTGAAGAGCATTAAATCATAAAATCAGAAGCTTAGACTTGGAAATTTCACATAATTCTATAGTGATATTTTATTTATGTTTTAGTACATAAAGCTTGTCTAAAGATCAGAAGGACAAAGCTAAGCCACTAGATGTCAGGTAGTGGTGGCACACACCTTTAATCTCAAGATTTGGGAGACAGAGGCAGATGGATCTCTGTGAATTCAAGGCTATCCTGGGTTACACAAGATCAATGCAGAAACAAATCCAGGTGGTGGCGCCTCACATCTTTAATCCCAATACCAGGGAGTTGCACCTATCTTAATCCGGGTACTAGAGGGAATATAAAATCGGAGGAGAGAGAGGCTAATTCTGTTTAGTCTGCGGTCGCCCGGCGCTGGTACAGGTGAGACTTCTCTAGTGGCTTGGCTGCTTTGCTTTTCTGGTTATTGGGTTGAACCCCAATACCTATTCTGGGTTTTTATTATTTGTGTTGCATAATTCAAAGCAAAACATTCATTACTTTTCTTTCTGAAGTCATGTTTATGTGCAGAAACCCTAAAAGAAAATGCGATTCTATGACAATCCCTAACAGTGTGACATCTACAAAGGTACCTGGAAGTGAAGTGCCAAGTCACTGATTCTCACGTTGTCCAGAGAGCATAGCAACGAATGAACGTACGGGGGTCACTAGACTCGGAAGTCACGCATGTGTGCGCACAATCAAGTACAGTGGCAAACAGACTAGGTTAAGCACCGTTAAATCTGAACAAGTGATTTGTAGGTATCCTTTTTTCCAAGATGTTTTGAAATTTCCACAGATTTGAAAATACTCAAAATTAAAAAAAAATGAAGTCACATGACTTAATTGAATTGTGTTTTTATATGCACAACAGACAGTTGTGTAAGATGTGGCTAGATGAAATTCATTTGGCAAAGCGCAGCTTAGGCAGTTGCTAATATATTCTAAACTAGACTGAAGAAACAGAGTAGGTCGAACAAATTAAAAGTTCTAGTTCTTTTTTTGTTTTTGCCTTGGATTTCTTGTTTTTTTTTTTTAAGATTTATTTAGTTATCATGTATATAGTATTCTGCTTGAATGTATGCCTGCAGGACACAAGAAGTGCACCAGATCTTATTACAGATGGTTGTGAGCCACCATGTGGGTGCTGGGAATTGAACTCAGGACCTTGGGAAGAGTAGCCAGTGCTCTTAACCTCTGAGCCATCTCTCGAGTCCCCAAAAGTTCTATTTCTTGAGGTAGGCATGGTGGCACATGTCTTTAATCCTAGCAGACAGGTCCTTCTGTCTGTGTGTTGCTTTCACTGGTTAATAAAGAAACTGGCTTGGCCTATTGAAAGGGCAGAATTTAGGTAGGCAGGGAAGATGGAACTGAATTCTGGGAGGAAGAAAGCAGAATCAGGGAGATGCCATGGATCCGTCACCAGAGATAGAAGTGCTGAATTTTTGCCGGTAAGCCACTGCCACATCATGATATACAGATCAATAGAAATGGGTTAAATCAAGATGTGAGAGTTAGTCAATAAGAGGCTAGAGCTAATGAGCCAAGCAGTAATTTAATGAATACAGTTTCTGTGTGGTTATTTCAGAGCTAAGCTAGCTGGGCGCCAGGACCAACAAGCGGTCTTCCGGTTACAGAGGCCAGCCTGGTTTACAAAGCAAGTTCCAAGACAGTCAGAAACCTTGTCTAGAAAAACAAAACAAAAAGTTCTGTTCCTGTTTACTGTGAGCAATTCGAATTTCAAGTGTACAGAGTATTAAAAACACTCACTGTCTTCTCCTGGGCAAGGCATTCCAGGACGTTCTGGCACACAAGGAAATACTGAAAAAAAATTAAAACTAGTTAACAGCATATTTACAAAATACAAACTATACAGAATTAAAATTAATACAAAATTCAAAGTGACTTGAGTTACCCAAGGTAGAATTCCAACACATGGCCAAAATTAGTCTACTAAAGGCTCTCATTTTTACCAAGCCTATATATAAAGCAACTTTCTGTGAAAACAAGTATGTCTGTAAGTAACACATTAGAAGCTCAATTTACTAATTCCTGACCCTTGCGAATAATCACTTTCTTCTTTTGGGCCTTAAAGAAGGCAACTATTACTTTTTTTAAAAAATAATTTTTTTTTTCTTTTAAAGAATGACCAAGGGCTGGAGAGATGGTTCAGAGGTTAAGAGCACTGACTGCTCTTCCAGAGGTTCTGAGTTCAATTCCCAGCAACCACATGGTGGCTCATAGCCATCTGTAATGAGATCTGGTGCCCTCTTCTGGCATGCAAGTGTACATGGAAAGAATGTTGTATACATAATAAATAAATAAATCTTTTTTTTAAAAAAAAAGAATGATCGAGATTGGCTTTTTTTTTAAGATTTATTTATTTATTATGTATTCAGTGTTCTGCCTGCATGTATCCCTGCAGGCCAGAAGAGGGCACCAAATCTCATTACAGATGGTTGTGAGCACATGTGGTTGCTGGGAATTGAACTCAGGACCTGTGGAAGAGCAGGCAAAGCTCTTAACCACTGAGCCATCTCTCCAGCCCCCTAACTACTACTTTTTAACATCCTTGTCATAGAAAACTTTGTTTCAACAAAGAATTAAATGACAAAAACCAAAGTTTTTAAAAGATGTGTACTCAATATAGGAATGAATTAATATCAGAAAGAGTATCAAAATCCCCAAAATATTAGCTTATATTCCGGGCTATATATTTACAAACATACCATAGAAAGCATATAATTCTCATTATAATGAGAAACATCTCTTTAACTAACTGTACTGAGTGAGAGCACCCGGAACAGGAAACTGTGCTGGGCAAGTACTCTACAACTGAGTTAACTCTCACTGTGTAGCCTGGGCTGCCCTGGAGCACAAGATCCTCCTGCCTCCACCTACCTGGATAACTGACTATTTCTCTAACATTTTAACATTTTATACTAGAAGAGGGTAGCCCCTGCCCTGCACACACACGTGCGCGCACACACATGGGCACACACACACTAATACAGAGACTTCTAAAACGGTACAGGAATTGTTGTTAAGTTGTAAAACAATGGGAAATCACATTTTAATATCCTCGAAGACTATACTCAGATAATACACCTCTCTTACACTATAGGAAGCAGGCTCATTTTACTGCTCCAGCACAGGGAAAATAAGTTAAAGACAATTATATAGGGAAGAGGCCACATATAATAAATGATACCTAGATTGTCTTTAAAGAGTCAATAAAAAAAAACAGTTATGTTTAAGTTACATCTTTGGGAGAGTTGGCGGATGGCTCTCTTACCATGGATCAAGAGCTCAGAGTCCTTGTTCAGTTCATAGAGCCTGAAAGCTTCTTCTAATTCCAGCTGAGAAGACACTGTGCACGGATCTCCTAAAACACAAAGGGAAGCTCAATCTTCATGCTCTGAGTTGGATAACTGTAAGCAGATTCTATAAACAGTAATGGAAGGAGTGTTGACGAGGACAGATGTTTAGACACTTCCTAGACCTCCATTCTTTGGGTAGATGACATCACATCCAGTTCAGGCTGCAGAATCAAACACAGGGCCCAGACACCACATTTCCTACATATAAAAACCACTCTGAGCCGGGCAGTGGTGGTGCACGCCTTTAATCCCAGCACTCAGGAGGCAGAGGCAGGCGGATCTCTGTTTCAAGGCCAGCCTGGTCTACAGAGCAGTTCTAGGATAGGCTCCAAAAATACAGAAAAGCCTGTCTCAAAAAACCAAAAAAGAAAAAACAAAAAAAACACTCTGTTCTGTATGAATGTGCATGTGTGTGCACGTGCATGCACACACACATACATACACAGTAGCAAATCTACTCTGACTACCTGTAGGCTGGCATGGCTCACTTAGATGGGAACGTTTAGAAGCCAGTCTGTTGCCTCTTCCTTCTCCTTAGTATTGTGGATGGAGCCCAGGACCAGGCCTGGCAAGCACTTTAACACCAAGGTATAGGGCCAGCCCCACCCCTGTTTTGTTCTGTTTGGGGATAGGGTCTCAATAAATTACTCAGGCTGGCCTCAAACACATAATCCTCCTGCCTCAGTCTCCCAAGGTCTACACCACCAGGTCTGATACTAGTTTCCTTAAAAGAGGAGTAAAAGCAGCTCCACTGCCATACTAGAACTCACTCTGTAGATCAGGCTGGCCTCGAACTCACAGAAATCCATATGGTTCTGTCTTCTGAGTGCTGGGATTAAAGGCATGTGCCACCACCACCCGGCCCAGCTATTACTTTTAAGACCTCAGTAAATATTGGTTCTTTTCTCTGGCATTGCCTGGAATGTCTCAGTTCTTTAGGAAAGCCTGAGTGTGGACGGTGAAAATGGTTTACGGGAGGCATCTGGAAGACAGCATTATCACTCAGCCGGCTTCTCCCTCCTCCGCCCTCTTAATCCCCCCGGTGCAGCTTTATAATATTAGGACTCATTTGCCTGCAGCCAGGGCAGCTCGGGGACCTGACCGAGATCTGCGCTGCAAACGGTACCTTAAACCACGTGACAGGGGACACGGAATTGACAGGAAACCCTTGTCTGTCAGTGTGAGCCAACCTTGGGAAGTCCCTTAGCTCGTGACATGGTCTTCAGGCAGGCCTGCCCCCTTTGGCTCTGAGGTATTTCAGCTGGGACTGTAACTGAGTATGGCTGGTTGGGACCTTTCTCTAAGTAGTGACTTTGTCAAAGATTTTCTTTCACATTACAACATTGCTCAATTAGGTCACAGGAAAGAAAACACTAAAGCACTCTGGACTAAGATAGTTCAGCTTGAGCCATTTAATAAAAAACTTTTTTAGATTGATTTATTTGATTAAGCATTTTGCTTGCATAATATATGTGCGCCACATGTGTGCCTGTGGCAGTCAGAAGGCATCAGATTCCCTGGAACTGGAGTTCCAAACAGTTGTAAGACACCTGTGTGTGCTGCAAATTGAACCTGGGTCCTTTGCAAGAGCAAAGGGCAGCAAGGGTTGAGCTGCTGAACCATTTCACTTGCCCCCACTTTTCTTTATATTAATTTATTCATTGACAATTGCACAATATAAACAATGCATCCAGATAGTGTGCACTCTACTCTAACTGTACTTTCCAAGGGGCCCCCAACTCTTCCCTCCATTCTTCCCAGGCACCCCAACATATCCCTATTCCCTTTCATTTCTTTTTTTGTTAATAGCCTATGAGCACTGTCTGCTGGAATGATGCCTGTCTGGCTGACTCACTCTTGTGTACATAATCGTAGCTGTAGTGAGCCTAAAGACAGCACTCCACGGCACCCCTCCCCATCCTGGGTCTCTCACAATCTTCGCACCCCTATTCTGAGACGCCCCTCCTCTGCCACGTTCCCTGAACCTCTGGTGAGAAGGATGTCACAGATGTCCTATTTAGGGATGGACACCAGCTTGAGTTAGTCTTAAATGCTGAATTTTAGTAACACGGACAACAAGGAAGAAACACCTCTCCTGACTGACCAAAGTGCTGAGTCATTCCTGGAGTCAAGAGGTGACATATATACACCAGCCAACATTCCTCAATGAACAAGTCACTTAGAGCAAAGCCGGGGCCTGAACTGGATCCGCCCCCTGCTGTGGTTATATGAAACATTCCTCCATGCTAGATGCCACTGATTCTGCCTAATCTTCAATCACACTCAGTTTACAATGAGAGTAAAGTGAAGTCATTTCCTTTTCACACTGTCTCAAAGAAAACAGTGTCTCTATTCTTTTCTTCAACTCAGCTGCTGAAGCCTTAATCCCTTTATCTTTTCTGGGCATTTGTAACATTAGCCCTGATAACCCAGAGAGCCGTGAAAAGTAAGTTTTCAACTCACCAACTTGTAACAGAAATAGGTAACCAAACCAGAAACTGGTACAAAAGGAAAAGAATTTCATGGCCTTTTCCCTCTAATGATAGACAGGAGACGACAGTCATGGGCTGTTTGTGGAGCCCCGAGAACAGAGAAAATGACTGGAGAGTGAACAAACTGAGTGAACAAGGTGTGGCATCTCTGTCCCTGAAGGCAACACAGAACATAGAAAATACTCCTAAAAACAGTGGCTGAAATAAATCCACAGTAACTACATAGAGGGTTCAAAGTATCAAAAGGCTTCTTCCTTTTTTTCTAAAGTATTCATTTTTATTTTATGTGCGTAGGTGTTTTGCCTGCATGTGCGTCTGTGTGAGAGCGTCAGATGCACTAGAAGTGGAGTTACAGACAGGTGTGAGCTGCCATATGGGTGCTAGGAATTGAACCTGGGTCCTCTAGAAGAGCAGCCAGTGCCCTCAACTACTAAGCCATCCCCCAAATTGGTTTCTTTCAACCGCCTATGTAGATATGGATACAGAGAAATGTCAAGAACAGAATAATTTTTGGTGAAACTTGGATTTCAAAAGTATCTAAAAGAAAAATCTTTCCCTGCCAAGTTTTGCTCAGTTTGAAAATAAAACTGCCCCTCTCCTCCATTTCAATCTATAAGTCATAAAAATAACACAAACAGCAAAGATCAGACGCGTGGAGCTTTTAGTGAACACCAAGACTTCTTAAAAAATGATGCATATGGGGCCCGGTAAGTGCGTTTGCAGCGCAGTTACTGGCAGAGGCTGCTGGATCCCTGAGGGCTACAGTTACGGACAGTATGAACTGCCCCCCCCACATGGTGCTGCACTTGGTCCTCTGTGGAAGCAGTTTTTACTCTTAACTGCTTAGCCATCTCTACACCAGGATCTTAGCTAAGTATAAGAGCCTCTCAAACCTCAGAAGCGTGTAGATGGGGGTCTTGTCTAAAAGAGATTTATGTGGGTATGGCTGTTACCTAATGGGACAGTTTTAACTTGATACATAGAAGGTCTACAATGCTCAAATGAACATGTGACTTTCAACTCTGCAGGAGAAAGTCTAAGCAAGTTTCTGGTCTTCAAACGCCATTGCCTAGGAAAAGAGAAGGACGACCCAAAGCAATGTTAGTCCTGGAAGACCACTTCCGGAGAACAGCAACGATTTTCCTGAGGAACAGTGGTATCTGCTGTTCTAACTCAGAGCCTCCCTTCTTTGGGACAGGAGTAGGCACTGCACTTCTCCTGTCTCTAGTTTATTATTCAGTGAGTCGTTCACAGGTCTTCAGAACTAGCAGAGGCAATCAAGGAACCTAAACCACGGGTGGACAAGACAAAGAATGAGAAGAGCATGTTTGGACTATGAACCTTTTGTCATCATGGATTAGGCTCTGGGTGGTTTGGAGTGTATTAGTACTTCTGTATAACCATAAGGAAGCAGGAAAGTAAGGCAATCACCGATAATATATTCAATCTTTTGTTTTTCTTGAACTGAGTGCCTGTGTGTCACATGTGACCTTTTTGGACCATGTTTGATAGGTAAAGCATTCTATATAAGTCATTATAAAACAAAGATGACCAGGAAAGCTACTTTTCAAAGCTAACTCTATCACCAAATTTAAACTTATAGAATAAACACAAATACGTTCTTAGTATTTGCTCACTGCAGTTGACTTTGAGAGAATTAAGAGATTAATAAAACCCACATATTAATCGTTAGGTTGTTCAATACACCTACTTTTTTTCACCTATAAAAAGAAACAAATAATCATTAGGCTCTAAAAACAGTTGTTAGATATGAAATACCCAACTATTTGTAAAATAACCTGACAAGATGCAGAACACAAAACTTAGGTCACATATTCATTATATTTAAATCCATATTCCACTTCCTGGCCCCCATTGGTTCCTGGCCATATCATAATGCAAAAGACATTTAGTCCAACTTCAAAACTCCCATAATCTAACATGGTCAACACTGTTTAAAAGTCCAAAGTTCAAAGTCTCTTCTGAGACTCAAGGCAATCTCTTAACCATAACTCTCTGGGAAACAAAATATTTCCACATGTGATATATATTATCATTCAAAAACGGAAAAATCAGGACACAGGAAATACTGAAAACTATAAATCTTTAGTGGCTCTGCCTTTCCAGCTTTGTTGCCTGCAAGATACACATCTCTCTTGGGCTGGTTCCACTCCCTGTGATCTCCTTGGGAGAGAACCCATGGCTATAGTACTTATAACATCGTGGGGTCTCCAATACAATCCAGGCTTCACTTTCAGAACTTCAAACAATGGCATCTTAGGGTTTCCATGCAGGGACTCCCTTTGCCACACGCCAGGCCTCAGTGGCTCTCCTTAACCGTGGAGGAAGACTCCATACACCTTTCCTCATGTATTTCTCATGACTCTAAAGCCAGAACCGTAAGGACAAGAGTGCCAAGTTCAGCTGCTCATTTGGGAGCCTGGTCCTCCCCTTGAATCACCTTTGCAGAAACTTTCCTTGTAGACTCTTAAGAGCAGAAAATTCAGCTGGGCAGTGGTGGTGTACACCTTTAATCCCAGCGCATAGAAGACAGGTAGGCGGATCTCTGTGAATTCAAAGCCAGCCTGGTCCAGGATAGCCAGGACTACACAAAGAAACCCTGTCTAGAAAAACAAAAACAAAAAAAGGCAGAAAATTCCTCAGGCCCTTTCTTTTCACAAATTGGAAGCTTAGCTGGGTAGGGTCTTGCCCTGGTCCCCTTGACCTGTGAGGACCAGGCCTCTCCTTAATCCCCTTATCTCTCAGCACAAGCACAAGACTCAACTCCAACACTCAATTTCCTCCCCCCCCTTTTTTCTCCTCACACTGTAGTTTTGTGTTTCTTTTTGTCCCACTTGCTATTTTCACCGCAGACCTGCATAAGAGTGATTGCTAACAACGACACGACAGTTAATACCACGTCCTGAAATCTCCTCCAAGAAATTTTCTTTGCAATTTAACCTCAGGCAAAGTCTTAGGACTACAGTGTGGAATATTCCTTTATACTGTGGACATATGCCCTTGAGATTGGTTTAATAAAGGAACCAACTGGTCCATAGCAGGACAAGATAAGGTTAGGGGGAGAATCAAACAGAATACTGGGAAGAAGGGTGGAGTCAGGAGCTGTGAGAGATGCAGAGGAAGCAGGAGATAAACATGCTGTGTTGAAAGAAGGCACCGCCACATAACAGAGGGTAGATAAAAAATAGGAGCTAATTTAGATGTAGGAGTTAGCTAGCAATAAGCCTGAGCTACTGGCCAAGCATTTATAATTAATATTAAGTCTCTGTGTAGGTTAATTGGGAACTGGTGGGCAGGAAAGAAACTCCCCACTACACCACAGCAGAAGCCACATTCTTTTGCCAAAATATCACAAGAATGGTCTCTAGCCCAGTTTTTAATATTGTTTCTCTGAATGCTGGGCCTATATAATCCATATTGCTCTCAGCAATACTGTTTTGCAAGATCCTACTAGGAGGCCTATTTAACCCAGCCTACAGGATTCAAATGTAACTTTTCTAGACCAAAATCCCAGTCTTCTAAAAACAGGTCAGGCCTGTCACAGCCACAGTACCATTCCTAGAGGACCAGGCTTCTATTCCCAGTAACCACACACTGGCCAACAGCTCTCTGTAATTCCAGTCCCAGGGGACCCAAGGCCCTCTTCTGGCCTGTTCAGACACTGGACACACATGATGCAGAGAGACATGTAAGCAAAACACCTACTCAAATCAAACACACACAAAGGAAAGGCATAATACTGCATCTCATAATCATATATTCTGTCAATTAAAAATAAAAAAATAAAACTATACAGAGAACTAAAACAAAATAAAGTAAAATAAAAATCGTATCTACCATTCCCTGTTCTATGTAAGAGTATATGGCAGTAATGGATACACAATTACTATTCACCTAAAATGTTTTGCTACTAAGGGTGATAGCTCACATAAGGAGACCAAAGAAGGGGGTCACTGCAAGTTCCATATCAGCCAGGGCCACATAACAAGACCTGCCTTTATTTTAAAAAAGAAGAAAAAAGTTAATTTAGGGGCTGGAGAGGTGGCTTAACAGTTAAAAGCCCTTGTTGTTGTTGTTCTTGTAGAAGTTTAGCTCCCGGCACCACAACCTTCTGGAGCCAGTTCCTTCAGGGGGATCAGATACCCTCTTCTGGTCTCCTTAGGCACCAGGCACACATGTAGGCAGCGGATGGTGAGAAGCCTTAATTCAATGTCTTCGAACTGAGGAAGCTGCCCATTCTTTCATTCTATCAGCCCTGGTCCTTAACCCTGTCTAACACTGTGACAAGCCTCTTGAGTTTGAGGACAAGCAATGTCTATCCTCAAACAGTTCACAGGGCTTTGTGGGTACAAGTCACTAACATTGCCCTGAAGTAAAATGATCACAATCACTAGGACTGCTCCGACATTTTCCTTACGATACATTCAGTTAAGAACAAGTAAACTTTTATATTAAAATATAAGACATTTATAGTCAAAATTAAGTTAAAATGTTGCACCAATAAAACATTTGCCTTACTTCACTTTGGAGAGGGAAAGGAAGACTGTGTACTCTGATTCAAATCTTAATCTAAGTACTCAAGTGTGGCATTAAATTTCTACTTTATCTTTCCCTCTTGATTTTCTTGGGACTCTTACTTTATCTAAAAGCAAATGCGCACACAGGTAGCACCCCTTTACCCCAGTCACTCACCTTCCTCGTCTATCCATTTCATGGTGAACGGCTGTTCATTGTCAAAAGAACACATATCTCGAACCTCACTGCAAAGTCCCTCAAAGGAGATGGAAGGCTCAAAGTGTGTTATCATAATGTCCCTGAAAAAGAAAAAGCTTCATGTTTAAAGCCATACTGATCTACATGTCACTGAACACCTGATGACAGGCTAGTTATTCTGTGTGTACATGAAAAATTAAAACATTAATGAAATAAAATTACAATACAAAAAGCACTGGATTTCTAGAAACCCTTAACTCTGTTCTGTCACTGAGAAGGCGCCCTCACTACTCCCCACTGTCACAAGGCCTCCCACCTCCACAACCACACTCTACAAGCATTTCCCTTGTACCCATCTAAACTCTACTTCAAACCCCATCCCCAGATTTTCCTACCCCCAAAAGTCCACCATTCATTTAGAGACTGTCCTTTTGTTACCCTGGCTCCCTTAGCCTTGACTTATACAAATAACCACCATAAATCTATCAATCATTCTTTGTATAGCATGAGTTCTACATTTCTTATCTCATTTTCAGCTTTTCCCCCTCAAAACTTGTTTTCCAAAAATAGCTTTAAGATAACTTCCTTTAGTATAGGTAATCTTCCTCCCCAATTACAGGAATACACTTTTAATAAAAAGTATTAATATATAAAAATAGCAAACAATATTTATTATTGCATTAATATATTAGCACTAGATGAACCATTTAAATCCAGTAAGCAGCTGTTCACTTAACTTTACAGTTGTTGAGTGTTTTCTAGTAGAGGCCTAGTGCCCCCCTAGGCAGCCTCTCCACAGCGGCCACTCTGCTGGACTAGCTTTAAGGTTTTATACAATGAACACAGCCCATGACTTCCTGCTGCAAATCCAAGTGTATCTACTATGCAGAGTCAAAGTTAATGTCCCTAGGTAGCTGGGATGGTTAGCTTCGTTGTGGACATGGGAAGAGAGGCCTGAGGACCAGTCCAGCTTTGGTTGGTCTGCAGACATGCCTGGGAGGGGTTTTCTTGGCTGAACTACTTGAGGAGGTGGGGGAGGAGCAGAGAGCTGGAGTGAGCCTTTTTTCCCCTAGGTTGCTTTATCAGGGTTTTGTATCACAGCATCAGGGTCTACAGCCTACAGAGCCGTCCCAGCTACTGCCCTGGCCTACTTCTCCAATGGGCGAGATAAACATGTGTTTCTAGTCTACCCTCTGTCCCAATCAGAGTACAATTAAACTTGGTGAAAGCGAACGCAGAGACATTTGCTTCATGATATCCCTGAGGGCAATGCAGAACAGGATGAATACCTGTCAAAAGTTAGCTCTGACCTCAACATAGGAAGGATAGATAATTCTAGAGCCAAATATCAGTGCCATGACCATGAAACACAGACTCGAGTTACCTCAAATTCCATGTTCAACATGGTAACATTTTCATGAAGTTCTAAATCAAACCCACACTTCAAACACACTGGTGGGACATCAGAGAGGTGACTCACAGAAAAGCAGGACCTCTCTGCTGTCAGCCTAGATGCTCGCCGATGACACTCCTTACTTAGCTTTCGGCATGAACGTCAGCGGCCAGTCAATATATTTGAAAACGTTTCATTCGTTAGACACCAGGATGTTAGGTCAGACAGAGATGGGCAAGGAGTGGTTATTTAGGGAGCTAAAAGCAGCCCAAGATAAACTGTTCCTAGGCTGTGGACCTGCAACAGGACAGCCTCTCCAGTACCCAAGACCTCGCCAGGTGGTCAGGCTTGTAGAAGGTTTCCGGAAGAGGAGCTGTGACTGGATCTGGGTAGCAGAGATACAGAACACAAAGGATCTTTTTAATTATTAACATGGCAGCCACCAGTTATCAGCCAAAAGAACTGACAGCTACAGTTAGCTAGAGAGGGAGCAGAGGCAGGCGGCCCCTCAGGGCTGCCAGAACTGACAGCTACAGTTAGCTAGAGAGGGAGCAGAGGCAGGCGGCCCCTCAGGGCTGCCAGAAGTGACAGCTACAGCTAGCTAGAGAGGGAGCAGAGGCAGGCGGCCTCTCAGGGCTGTCAGAAGTGACAGCTACAGTTAGCTAGAGAGGGAGCAGAGGCAGGCGGCCTCTCAGGGCTGCCAGAAGTGACAGCTACAGCTAGCTAGAGAGGGAGCAGAGGCAGGCGGCCTCTCAGGGCTGCCAAAAGTGACAGCTACAGTTAGCTAGAGAGGGAGCAGAGGCAGGCGGCCTCTCAGGGCTGCCAGAAGTGACAGCTACAGTTAGCTAGAGAGGGAGCAGAGAGCAAGGCGGCCTCTTGTAGAAGGCCGCAACCACATTCTCCACCATAGATGGCGCTGGACCGCCAGGTGAGCTAGAAAGCTCACACGTGTTGGTATTTTTCCACTACTCCCAAGGTATCACCTGGGACTGGGAGCAGTTGACCAATCAAAGAGTGACACGTCCAAAGCAGGGTCTGTTTCCTATATAAGGGATGGGTTCCATCTTATCTGTGTCTCCGCCATGTGGCTTATGCTCTAGCTCCCAAGAGGATTAAAGCCTTTCTGCAGAAGTATCCTATGTGTACCGCGTGGTTCTTGCTGGCGAGACGGTAGCGCGGGACATCTGGTGCCGAAACCCGGGAAGAAGAAGAACTTTGCACCGCCGGAGACCCCTTGGACACAAGGAGGATTCAAAACTGCAGACATGCATGCTTAGAGAGGTACGCTCTAAAGTCCAGAGAGCATATCAAAAACTGAGCAGCAGTGGGAGGTTGTGCGCGTGCACCCAAATAAGTTAAAAAGGACCCCCCAGTGATTTTAAAAAAGTAAAAATGGGGGAGAAGGCTGATTTACAAGGTCAAAAGCTTTATGTTATGTTGTTTGTGTTGTCTGTTGTGTACTGGATAGGAGAAAGATATTTAAACTTAAAAACTGCTAAGGATATGATGTTTTGGGAAAGAGGTTCTGTTTTCGTCTCCACAGAAAAGGAGAGCCTAAGGGTGTACTTGGGATTTATATGGTTTGAATCACCGAGACCTCCTAAAATGTTGTAGTGTATACCCGTAAAATACAGCGGCCCAATAACAGCAGAAAGCAGCCAGAGACTAACGACGCCCAAATTCCCTAAAAGATTAAATGAGGTTCTTTCAGTGATTACAGATCTGCAAGCCTGCTTCTCTGAGTTCCGCTTTGCTCCGTACACCGGTTTGGACTCGGAATGGGTGCAGCTGGGGCTGGAGGGCGGCTGGAACGGAGCTTTGCTCTGTGGCTATGGTGGGGAGCTCGGTTGGTGCCTGGCCTGGAGGGTGTCACGTACCGAGAATGAGAGCGGTGCTACAAGCTGCCAGGCCAGAATTGTACCTAATTGTACCTTGCAATGTACCTAAAACTGTGAGGGTCTCTGAGGGTAAAATGGCTCTGGTTCCATTTGGCTACGCTAAACGATGCTGACTTCAGGCAGGGCTGGTCGTATTTACCATAATAAAAGCGCAATTAAGGTTTAGACGCAGTAAACAGGCAGTACCATATTACATCTACATAATGCGACTTAAGTTTTTAAGAACTGCTTAGCATTTTAAGAATTCAAGTCCTCCTAAAAGATTGCTGTGTATACGCTTGGCTTGTCTGGTGTTTCAGGATCCGCAGGGAGGTGAATGCGAAGGGCCCTTGGATTTTGGGGTGATTGGGTCGTTGGCTGGATCTGTGAGAGTTTACAGCCGCTTTTGCTGTGGCACAGGTGTTGAGAGTTTGCTAGTAGGGAAGCGGCCCTGGTCGCCGCCTCTCCCAGTGGCCCCTTGAGCCGCAGCGGCTCTGGCGCGGACCTTGAGATGTTGCAGGCCTGTGCCGCCTCGGTCTGAGTGTCGGCTCCCGCCGCACTCCCCCACCAACACAGCCGCGAAGGTCTGGGCTGGCCCCGTGGGAAAGGCGGGGGCGCCTGGGGGTGGAGCCAGGGCCGCACACAACACTTGGATGGTGGGCGGGCTCTGGAACCCAAGGCCACCGTACCAACAAGGAATACGGGAGCCAATAAATCTTAAACCTAATATCTACAAACAGGGCCTGGGTTTTTCCTAGGCGCCACTGGGACAGCACGGCCTATATCATGAAAAACAGAGACCCTCAATCAGCTATCTACCACAATGGCTACAGCCCTGGATCAACAGGCTACCATAGATACATCTATTAGAGGTAAAATAAAAAACAGGTAAATATCTTATGGCAGCTTGCCCAATTGGGCTATAAATGGAAAACTCCAGCCTTATATGTGACCAATGTACCATATAAGAACTTTATAAAAATGGCTAACTTGTCCCAAAAATTGTCTTTGTATCTTGCAGGAAAATTTTGATGATTTGCTGTCCTCCTTAAAACGGTCCATCGTGACAATCAACTCCACGCGAATGGACATAAGCCTGGTCAAAGAATTCCAGTCCTGGATTATGTCCTTCATCTCCTACTTCAAAGAATGGGTGGGGGTTGGAATGTTTGGAACAGTCCTATGCTATGGAATAATGTTTCTCCTCTGGATGGTCTGCTGACTCAAATCCCAAAGTCTTAGGGACAAAATGGTTTTTACACAGTGCTGGCTACCCTGGAATAGGGAGCCTCTGCTTATATATGGTTATCTATGTTAAAGCAGTAAGGTTTAAGCCAACCAGCTCCTGCACCCCTAGGACCATGGTCCATGGCACAGGATGGAATGCTTGGCTTAGCTAGCCCTAAAGGTTGTGGAGCTAAAGAACATCACACAGAGAATGGCCCTCTCTGAGAGATATGTCGTCCTACATAAGGGTTTCCTGCCGTATATTCCCTTTCCCAGAAAAATGGCGGAGGGCAGGCCGGATAGGTTCCAGGTGTCATAAACCTAGGGACAGATTCCGTGTAAGCCCATTTTAATGTTTTCATTTTGGGAAGTGCGACCTCTATCTTTACCTTTTGAGGGAGTTGCCTTTCTGCAAAGAAGTAAAATTAGGGGGAGATGTAGAAGGCCGCAACCACATTCTCCACCATAGATGGCGCTGCACCGCCAGGTGAGCTAGAAAGCTCACACGTGTTGGTATTTTTCCACTACTCCCAAGGTATCACCTGGGACTGGGAGCAGTTGACCAATCAAAGAGTGACACGTCCAAAGCAGGACGTGTTTCCTA